TTGTAATTTATTTTTCGTGAATTGGTAACGATTGATCATCGTGTAGCTTTTTGACTCCCAATCCAACAAAAAGAAAAAGAAAAAACATGTTAATGTAGCTTTTGCTGCTTGCTGAGCGTTGTAGCTCGCTGTAGTCTTCTTGTTGATGATCAAAACTTGTCTCTGTACTTTTTTGGTGAGTTGTGAGATTAGGACTGGACATTTTCTATGGCAACTCTTTTCAGAGATACAAGTTCCCATTTGGAGATTTTTTATGAATAGTGTATTTTCTAACAAAGAAATCTAAATGCTTTCACTAGAATTGGTCCTCACATGATTAGTACCACTACATTTACTGAATTTGTTCAGTCCAAATGAGATTTTGACTGGTAAGAGTTTTCGAAAACCAGTCAGTGTCTCATTTGGGCTGAACAAATTTTGTGTGGATGAATTATTAATCGTATTTGCATATGTAGTGGTATCTCCACTTCCTGCTTCTAATTGGTTGCATTTTGACTGAGTTAATTTTGCTCCGTCAATGTCTTCTGTATTTTGATGGGAAGGTGGATGAGACATGGGAGATCCTTTCCAGCATTAATTAGGATGTCTAAATTTTAGAATCATTAATCAAGTTGTAATTGTTTACATTGAATTTTACAATTAATTTCCGATCATTGAACATATCGGGGGTCAACCGGCAATAGAAGAAGCCAATGGCAGAATCTGAGCAAACCACCCAGTAGACTGAATTAGAATTTCTGTATTTATTAATTGAGAGAGCAAGTGGTTGTGGAGTTCGTAAGTGTTATTTTCATTAAATTATTTGCTTTTGAACTCAATCAAGCAGAATCAAATGCCCACTTGCTGCCACTATATTAATCTTTCAAAAGGAATGTAAGAGAAAATGATAGAGAGAAAAACAGAGAGAATGAATTATATATTGATTGATATTATTGATTGATATTGTTACAAGATTGTTGTGTATATTGTTATTTTGTTATGTTTACAATGATCAAATATATAGAAGAGAAGAAGGTAGTAGGTGAAGTGGTAGGGGATGAAGTGGAGGTGGTAGTGGTAGGTTAGGTGAGGAGGTGAGTGTGTGTGGTAGGTAGTAGTGGGTTAGGTTTAGTGGGTTTAACAAGGAAAATTGAATTTTTAAGGCAACTTTTAAAAGCCAAAATAGGTATTTATTGGCTACTGTAATAGTCTAGTAATGCTATATCCTATTAATTTTAGACCTTCAAAACCAACATCCAATGACATGGCAAGTACTCATTGAATAATTGTTATGTTGCAGTGGAGTTTTCAAATGATGAAACTTATGACATATCACTATTTTATTTCAAGCTGAACATGTCTAACGATTTGAACTCTCCATATTGTTATCTAATATAAATTGGTACAACACTGGTCATGTTAGTTTACTTGTTTTCATTTTCTAAATCTAAGCTGAATATGACAGTTAAGTTGATTTCAACATGAGCATCAAAGCACTTCTTAATAAGCCATCATGCTCTCTTTTGTCTATTTTTTATACCATCTTAATGAAGCAAAACAGCAGTACCTGGTAGTGAGCTTCGACATCTCTCTCTTATACAGTAGTTTTTTTGGGTGAATTGAGAGGAACTTTTGTTATAGTCATGTTCAGAACAAGCTTTGGTCGGTGTTTGATGCGACCTATTTAGCACTTTCTCCACAAATTTTTCTATTTTGAGATGATGAAAGAAAGAAAAGAGAACATGGGGAAGGACTACACCCCACCCACCCCTCTTATCTATCTTTACAAGGTGGTCTTCTCTACAGGGGGAAAATTCTAATTGGAGCAAATACATGTGGTGTCTTCAATTCATATATATATATATATATGCCCACCCAAATCATATGACTGCCCCACACAAATTTTAATATAATTTTCTTAACACTGGATCTTCTACTCTACAATTTTTTTCCATGTCTCAAGATTCTTCTATTAGGACATAGGTAAGGAAATAAAAGAATTTGAAAAATACCATATTTTCTAACCTACAATCTTTTTGTTTCAAAATATTCATGTTAAATAATGTCTCGAGATTCCTATATTAAGGACAGAAAAAAAGAGGTCAAGTTTTAATATGGCATCGCTATGCCTATGTAGTATTCGAAAGTTCTCTAATGTAATGGGTTGTTTCTCATTTCTTTGCTTATTGAACTTTTACTTCCTAAGAAGGTGTCAATGTCATTATCATTTGTACATGAGTTTTCTTTGAAAAAATTATAAATTAATTGAAGAACTTAAAGTAATTGTAAATATATAAAACTGTAAATGAAAACTATGTCCTTATTTGTATTAGAGCATAAACCCAACTTACACTTCGATAACGTTACAATTATTTTATTTGTTTTTACTAATTTGTAATTTTATTTTATTTTTTTATTTTAATAATAGGGCCAAAAGAAAAAATAAAAAATAATAAAAAAAAGATATAATAAATTAAACTAAAATAAATAATGTAAATGAATGATATTGAGAGAAATGGTCCCATTGCTATGAGAGGGGAACGAATATTTGTAAGCTAAAGCATATATATATACTATAATTAATGAGTTACACAACTTTAACAGACTCTGGAAACAAAATTAAAATAGAAAAAAGAATATGGAACATATGACATTAGAAACTAAAATGTGATTGGATCTTTGTAAAATAATTTTAAAATATATATATATATATATATCAGTGGAACCACAATGGTCCCCTGTCAAACAGAGAAAACAAAAATCAAATAATTAAAGGTTCTTTAAATAAATAAGTAAATAAAAACCCTTTGTTAACTGAGCTTTTGCTGTTAAATTTGCTACTAAATTTGGGGTGTGTTGGCTTAACATGTCAACTAATTTTCACTGTGCAGAAATATACAGAAAAAAGGGGGAAGAGGGGAGGTATCCTATGAAGACAGACCTATCCTCATTAAGGTGTTCCATTTGGACAAGCTGGCATTTCTTATTTTTTTTATTTTTTTTTAACTTACTTTTTAAAATTTTTTTTTTTTTTTTTTTTTTTTGACTATATGTTTAAAAATTTTTTCTTTTTTTTTTTTTTTTTTTTTTTTTTTTTTTTTTTTTTTTCTTTTTTTCTTTTGTTAGGTTTTTTTTTTTTTTTTTTCATTCCTTTTGCCTTTTTTATTCTCTTTATGGAAAAAAAAAGTTTTTATGTTATGATGATATCATGTCATTACTATTACCTATGTAATTTTATTATTGATGGGTGATAATAACATAATATTGTTGCTATATTGAATTTCTACATGTATAATAGACAACTAACTATAAATGTCATCAAACTAATTACCAATTACATAGAGAAAAAAAAAATATTTTTTTTAAAAAAAAGGGAGAAGGGAAAGACCATTAAGCTCCATGCTGAAGTATTATCATGCAAGATTCAAAAGTAGGAATTGAAGGCGACTTGAGATGTTGGAGGAGTCAAATAAAACAATACTCCAAAAGATGTTGCCAATGTACAAAATAACATTGACAGCCCAAAACTCAAAAATCTATTCAGTGTATTTGGTTTCAGTTTTTTAAAGATTGAGTTTTTTATTTTTCGTATTTTTTTAATATTTAGTGAATATTTTTAAAATTTTAAGCAATTTTTTTACTTTTTTAGATGCACCTTATTTAGATGTATCTAAATAGTAAAATATTGGGATTTTTTTTTTAAGGTCCCTGGTATTAAGACTTTATAGTATAAAGGACATCTAATATTTTCATAATGTCTAAGGTTCCTCAATTTGATCCAGAGAAATTCTAGTACAGAGAAATTCTGTCTAGAGAAATTCTCTCCAATCCAGAGAAATTCTCTGTTTCTCTCTAGAGAAATTTTGTTTTTGTTGAAATGCCTTCAAAAGTACAAAGCTAAACATTAAGTTTCTGTTTCTATCAAAGAGACATTTCAACCCCAGAGAAAATCCCCTCCAACCAGAAAAATTCACTTGTAAACCCCTTGAAACAATGAAAACATACCTGGAAACATAGCAAGCCATTTAATCATTTGAGCTTCAAGTTCAGATTTCAGCCTTTGTAACTTCATGAATTTATTTCAAATTCTACACAAGAGTTTACTTCTTTTTTGTTATCTGCAGTTTGATGGCTTCAGTGACTTGGATACATATTCATAGAGAAAATCTCATCACTAGAGAATTTCTCTGGATTTCAATCTAGAGAAATTCTTTAAAACCAGAGCAATTTTCAGTATCACCAAAAAAAAAAAAACAACAACAACAACCTAAAACAATGGCTTAAATTATTAAATGTCTCTGCAATTCTCTGCATCATCCATCCATCCATCAATCCCAAAAACCCAACTCAGTCAAATCTACAATTAACCAACTCTCTACATATTTATCAAGTTCCTTTTTAAATTCTGTTTTTGGTCTCCTCAGTGAGAATTTTGTTCCATCACAAGTTGCAGATACAATTCTAGGAAGGAAATGATTATGAAGGGCAAAGCTTGCGATTCAACATCAGGGGGTGGTTTGGAGATGCAACATGACATAGAGGTTGATGATGGAAATAAGATAAGTGACAAACTCTATGCTGAAAAATCTTAATACCAGGGACCAATCCAAAGAAAATTTCAATCCAAATCAGAGAATTTCTCTGGACCAACCCAGAGAAATTTCAGTAAGAATCCAACAAAAACATACGCAAAGATGAATTACAGTTCCCTGGAGGAGGAGGTATTCGCTCTATGACAGTAGGAAGGACCTGCTCCAGACCTTGACCCGTCTTGGCAGATGTCAAAAGACAATCACTTGGGTCAAGGTCAAACATGTATTTTAGCTGAGCTTTAACACAATCTGGATCAGCAGTTGGCTGGTCAATTTTGTTTATGATTGGGGTTATTGTCAGGTTAGATTCAAAAGCAAGATAAAAGTTATCAACAGTTCACTCCATTGAGTGAATAAGCAACAATAGCAACCTATATATATATATATATATAAATTAAAATGTGTTTTTGTGCAAAAAGAAAACAATTAATGAAGAACATAAACCAGTCATCATCTTCTTCTTCCCCAAACTCAACGCCTTCATATTGTACCGTGGGGACGATGCAGAAAATTGAATGGGTGACCACGGAATTGTACTATGGGGACGATGCAGAACACGTTGATATCATTCAGGGGATTGAGAGAGGCGATGCTTTGCCTAGATTGAGGAGTTACGATCAAATTGCGCAGATTGTGAAGAAGGTAGGGTTTGAGGTTGTGAAGGAGAAAGATTTGGCGAAGCCTTCGGCAAAACCGTGGTGGACGAGGCTAAAAATGGGGAGATTTGCATATTGGAGGAACCACATTTTGATTACAGTGCTTGCTTTTCTTGGGATTGCTCCGAAAGGTGTTGTAGATGTTCATGAAATGTTGTTCAAGACTGCTGATTATCTAGTTAGAGGGGGTGAGACTGGGATTTTCACTCCAATGCACATGATCCTCTGTAGAAAACCGAAGAAGAAGACCGAGATTCGAACAGAGAACTAGGGGCATTTCATGCTGATGAGGTTGATGATTGGGGGGCATCGAAGAAGTTTTTATCTAGTAATGGTTTTGAGAGGAGAGATAAAGGAGAGAGATGAGGGTTTTTTTGGATCTGAGTCTAGGGCTGATGATTTTGAGAGTTGGGTATCGAAGAAGAGCTTAGAAATGTGTTCATGTGTTCATACGGGTATAGGATTAAGAGACTTTAGACATCACAAAATAATATTGTGGATCTCTTCCATCACTAAAAGTGAGAGAGGGACCTTAGACTAATTTTTCCTAAAATATTTGTGAAAAATATTTTAAAAAATTAATAAATATACAAAAATACGAAAAATGTATTGAATTTTTGTATATATATATATTGTATTTTTGGTATTTAGTAAATTTTAAAAAAAAAAATCACAAGTATTATACTTTGTAAGTGTATTTATGTTAGGTGTGTCTAAAAATTAAAAAATTGCTTAAATTATTAAAAAATTCAGTGAAAACAAAAAAATACGAAAAATAAAAAAACAGAATTTTCTGAAAAGTGAATTCTAAAAACTGAAACCAAACAGAGTGATTTATTTTTAGTTTTTCAAACTAATATTCAACTTAATCATTTGAAAACTCTTTTTAAAACTCATAATTAAACAAGTTTTAAACTTTCAAAATTTATAGCAAAACAAGTTTTAAATTTTTGAACTCTTTTCAAAATTTATAATCAAAGAAGTTTTAAATTTGGCCTTGTTTAGTTTGTGTTTTGAGAAATTATTTTTAAAATAATTTTATGGAGAGAGTTTAGAAAATTTAAAAATTTGTTTGATTGTATATTTTGAAAATAGTTTAAGTTTGAGATGATTTGATATTTTTTTATAATTGACTAAATGGTGAGTGAAAAAATGATTGGGAAAGGAGAAGTTATTTGGTGGTTTAGGAGTATTGCTCCACACCGCACAAATCATGACAGTTGCCATGTTGTCTCGACAAAAAGTGGTGGGACTCACTATTTTAGCCAATGAAATGCATGTTGAAACACCATTTGGATTTGCCCCTGAAGCAAACTATAATTTCTCTGGAGAAAGGTAGAGGAGAGAAAAAAATAATTGATTGATGTGTAGTGAAAAGAAAAGTAATTTTGAAATTTTTTTCTACTGGCCAAATAATTTGTTATGTTTTAGATATATATGAGTGATCCAAAAAATATACGTAAACAGTAAACAAAATGTGAAGAAATGAAAAACAAATGTAATAAATATAAAACGTTTTAAATGTATGTAGATTGAGTAGATATAAATAAAAAAAGCAGTTTTAAAATTTTAAAAACATTCTTACGAACTAATATAGGATTTGGAGTGTCTGTTGTGCACCCAGCACAATAGGCACTGTTGTGCTGCCTTGTGGGCTTATTTCGGGGTCCGATTTGATAATTCGAACCGTTCACATTTTAGAATACATCAAGTAGAACATACCTATAAAAAATCAAGTTAATCGGATATCATTATCCCTTTCATCTACTCACATTTATATTCATTTTAATACTTTAAATCACAATGTCATTTATTTTGTAGATACAAATGTTAGTAGATGAAAGAGTTAACGATATCCAATTAGTTTGATTTTTTATAAGTATATTCTACTTGATATACTTTAAAATGTGAACAGTTTGGATTATCAAACCGAACCCTAAAATGAGCCCATAAGGTTGCACAGCAGGCACCCCAGATCCATTAGTTTTGAAAATTACAAACCAAACCAGTTTTCAATTTGCAAATTTCTAAAAACTATTTTCAAAATATAACTCAAAAACTAGTTTCAAAACTCATAATCAAATAGATGTTAAATTTTTAAAATTCTTTTCAAAAAACTTATCTTTCAAAATGAACTTCAAAACTTTTTAAACTTTTTTCTTTGTCCTATTTAATTGGATATTTCCATGTAGTTTAATGAGATGCAATTAACAATATCGGTTCTTCAACGTACACATAATTCAATAACAAAATTACATACAATCCTATTAAATAATAAAAGAATCAGATATTTAATAGCTTTCATCTTTTATGAAAGAATAGTATCTGATTTTGTGATTAAATTATATATATTAAGAATTTTACTATCTCAATTATTGAAGTTTTGAGTTTGAATACATTAGGAGTGGTTGACGTTGTGGTTGTGACATGCGTTGTTAATTATTTTTATTTTTTTTATTTTATGTAATTGAATATCTATCGCACAAACTTAGTTTGATATTTATAAATTATTTCATGCCGATTTTAAAAAAAAAAATTTAAAATTATTGGCCATGGCGGACAATTGCAACGGATAATGTGACAACCATGCAGGTTACACAAAAGCAAAATAAGCTCCTTAACCAAAAAAAAAAGTTATTTTACACACCACAATCACACCCAGGGAAAAAAAAAAATTGAGTCATTTAATTTATCATTTTTAAAAATCACTCCTAATGATTCGTTTGATAAATTTTAATTTATCAAATATTTTATCATGTAAGGTCTAATCTTAATATCATTAGAAATCATTTAAAAATAATAAATTAAGAAGATGTAGAATTATTGAAACAGTCAAAACAGCCTTAAGATGTGAGTTCGTCGTTCAGGACAACCCCTCCTGCGGCGAAACAGCAACACAAAGATGCAAGGCTGCAAAAGAATTAAAATTTGAATTTTAGAAAGATAAACAAACAAACAAACAAAAACATTAATAGAAGAGCTGATAGATATGAGGGTAATATAGTAAAAGAAACAAGTTTAAAAATATCAGGGGGTTTTGAAAGTACTTATATAATTCTTGTCCTTTTGAAAGACAAATTAGATAGTGAGGGGGTTATCACCAAATCCCCCTTTATTTTGTAGATACAAATGTTAGTAGATGAAAGAGTTAACGATATCCAATTAACTTGATTTTTTATAAGTATATTCTACTTAATATACTTTAAAATGTGAACGGTTTGGATTATCAAACCGAACCCTAAAATGAGCCTATAAGGTTGCACAGCAGGCACCCCAGATCCATTAGTTTTGAAAATTACAAGCCAAACCAGTTTTCAATTTGCAAATTTCTAAAAACTATTTTCAAAATATAACTCAAAAACTAGTTAAATTTTTAAAATTCTTAAAATTCTTTTCAAAAAACTTATCTGTCAAAATGAACTTCAAAACTTTTTAAACTTTTTTCTTTGTCCTATTTAATTGGATATTTCCATTTAGTTTAATGAGATGCAATTAACAATATCGGTTCTTCAACTTACACATAATTCAATAACAAAATTACATACAATCCTATTAAATAATATAAGAATCAGATATTTAATAGCTTTCATCTTATATGAAAGAATAGTATCTGATTTTGTGATTAAATTATATATATTAAGAATTTTACTATCTCAATTATTGAAGTTTTGAGTTTGAATACATTAGGAGTGGTTGACGTTGTGGTTGTGACATGCGCTGTTAATTTTTTTTTTTTTTTTATTTTATGTAATTGAATATCTATGGCACAAACTTAGTTTGATATTTATAAATTATTTCATGCCGATTTTAAAAAAAAAAAATTTAAAATTATTGGCCATGGCGGACAATTGCAACGGATAATGTGACAACCATGCAGGTTACACAAAAGCAAAATAAGCTCCTTAACCAAAAAAAAAAGTTATTTTACACACCACAATCACACCCAGGGAAAAAAAAAAATTGAGTCATTTAATTTATCATTTTTAAAAATCACTCCTAATGATTCGTTTGATAAATTTTAATTTATCAAATATTTTATCATGTAAGGTCTAATCTTAATATCATTAGAAATCATTTAAAAATAATAAATTAAGAAGATGTAGAATTATTGAAACAGTCAAAACAGCCTTAAGATGTGAGTTCGTCGTTCAGGACAACCCCTCCTGCGGCGAAACAGCAACACAAAGATGCAAGGCTGCAAAAGAATTAAAATTTGAATTTTAGAAAGATAAACAAACAAACAAACAAAAACATACATAATTTATCATGATAAATTATACTTTTTCCCTCCTTAATTTGACCAAGATTTTCTTTTAAATCTTTGTAGTTTTAATTTGAATAATTTAATATTTACACTTTAAATTTAGTTTTAATTTGTTTATTTTATCCAAATTTTCGTTTTTAATATTTTCTATATATTTAACTCAAGAGATTGACAAGTGTCTTAAAATCATTAATTTTAAGTTCCAATTTGAATAGAAGAACACTGACATACACCCCCTCATTAACAGCTAAGATGTTCTGCATGACCCGGGCCTCATCTAGGGTAAAACCGGATAAGAACACATCCTCCATACCGTGCTCAATTTCCAAAACTGGCGTAGATATTTCCGGCAGTGGATGGATCGATGAATTCCCAAAAACAATGGCTACTTCCTTCCCATGGGGGTATTTCACCATCTGATGTAAGGTGGACGAAACTGCCTTTACCTGATGCAACCAGGGCCGCCCCAAAAGTAGATTGAATGTCGCAGGAACTTCTAAGACGTGAAAGTCTACCTCATGCTGTCTTGGCCCGACCTTGGCCTGAATTTTCACTGTCTCCATTACTTCTCTGCTCGTGTTATCATATGCCTGAATCACCTGGGCTGTTGGCACAAAATTCGCGGTCTTTAAACCGATTGCATATGCAGTCCTTGCCGGGCACACATTGATGGCCGACCCCGTGTCGATAAGCACTACGGGTATCCATTCGTTTCTGCACTCCACAGAGATGTAGAGTGGCTTGTTATGGTTTGCACTCTTTGTGGATCATGTCATGCAATATTGTGGTCGCGGCC